CTTCCGATCTGCGGGCCGTGTCACGTGACACCGGCGAGGCGCTCGCCGTCGCCGCCCGTTGCCACGGCAACGGCTACGGGGGGCCGCCCCGCCCAAAAAGCTTCGCCCGCGAACGGGGCTGGGACGTTCATGTTGCGACAGTCGCGATGGCGGGGGGCGGCCAGCGGTGCTCCGGCGCCATCCCTGCCTGGCACCGCGCCCCCGCCGGTCCCGCGGCTCCCCGGCCGGCAGCGCTGTCGCCAGGGGGAGCCGCGGGAGCCGCGGCACGCTCAGCCCCCGAGGCAGGCGCGGTGTTTGCGGGCCCGTGGCGGAGCCGGGGAACAAAAGCGGCTCCGTGAGCGGCCGCAGCCCGCAGCGGTGGCAGGGCCCGCGGCCGCAGCCCGCAGGAGATACTGAGGGGCCCGCTGTGGAAAACGCCACTCGCTTGTTTGTAAAATGTCAAAAGTTTAATGTAATAAAATGGGTATAAAAATAGCAGTGTAATTAGAGTAATAAAAATTTGGGCAATTTGGATTAGGACAATATGAGACAATAAAAACAAAGAGTTACGGACAGTCCGGGTACCTCTTCCTGGGCAAAATAAGCCCAAAAAAGGACATCGTCAACAGAGGATTAACCCTTAAAAGCAATAGCCTGTTGCATATTCATACACCTCATACGTGATGCATAAATGCCATTCAAACACAGGATTCTGTCTGGTCTGTGTCAGCTTCCTCCTCTGAATCCTTACGGCGTCTTCAGGGCTGAGCAAGGTGCGAAGAAGTTAGTTTATTCTGATAATGGGGCAATAAATTCTCTGAAAGATTTAGGTGTCCTGTGGCTGCTATCTGGTACGAGTACCTCATTCCTTTCTTTAAAAAAAGTATCCCACATACATAGTTTCTATTTTAACATTATGTTATAACCAAAACCTATATTTAATTTATATGTATTAATGTTAAATTAATAACTTTCTAACATAACACATATAATATTCATTTTAATATTTGCGAAAAGCCAGTAATAAAATACGCATTTTTCACACCATTCTATCCCAGTGATGGAGAACACGGGTAGATCCCAGGCTGTGCAATGCCCTCTCAGTGCAGAAACTCAAATTCCACGCTCTGGGGCATCACTGAGAGGGGATCTCACCAATGCATGTAAGTATCTCAAGGTGCCAAGGGGATGGTGCCAGGCTCTTTTCAGTGGTGCCCAGCAACAGGACGAGGAGCAATGTCTGAAAACTGAAACACAAGAAGTTCCACCTCAGCATGAGGAAGAATTTCTTTACACTGAGGGTGGTGGAGCACTGGCACAGCTGCCCAGGGAGGCTGTGGAGTCTCCCTCCCTGGAGACATTCAGACCCCACCTGGACACGCTCCTGTGTCACCTGCTCCAGGAGACCCTGCCCTGGCAGGGGGTTGGAATGGATGCTCTCCTGAGGTCTCTTCCAACACTAACAACTCTGTGATTCTGTGATTCTGGGTTTCTGGAGGGGCCCTTCTCTCTCTCTTCTCTCCAGCAGGTAGGTCTCTGTTTCAGGGCCACCTCTGAGCTTCTCCAGTTTTGGGTTTCTGGAGGGACCCTTCTCTCTCTCTGCTCTCAGAGAGCAGGTAGGTCTCTGTTTCAGGGCCACCTCTGAGCTTCTCCAGCATTCAGCCATCCTTTCGAGACTGCTGAGGCTCTGCTACTTACCTCATATTTGCTTCTTTATCCTCAGACTGACCAAACACTTAAACATGTATATACCATCAGCACACTTCAAGCAGAAACTGAAAACATCATAAAAGGTGTATTTGGTACTGCCAGGTACTCAGCCAATGCAGAATTTTGTTTCTGAACATGACTGGAAACAGATGTGTAAGGAAAAGAATAATAAGGCAAAAATGTGGTGAGATTTCACCAGTATATGCTGAGCATCTGGCGATTTGCAGGTTAAGGGCTTCCTGGTCTAGGACAGAGATGTAGCAGCAAATTATTATTTTTGTTCCGTTTCCATGGTATCATTTTTTTTCCACTTGATTTCAGCACAATGTCTTCATAGCTGTTCCTCAGTAGTGGGTAGTGCTAGAGGTGATAAATCATCATTTTGTTACCTCCTTTTGTCTTTGTTCCCCTTAAGTAGGAGTGGAAAGAAGGTGCCCATAATGGAAGCTAATTTTTTTCCTTAGTTTTGAGGCTTTGATGGTGTGTGTGTGCTGTTCTTTTGCTTATCACAGTAGTGAAGTTGGCAAGCCCCAAATATGACACGGGGGCCAGATTAGTAAACATGTTTGTGTCTCCACAGGAAGTCTTAGTGTTGGAGGACATGTTGCTGATCCCTATTGCCAACAACAGCACTGTGCATTTTTGGGAAGTGTAAAAGGGGAGATAGGCAAAACACACACTGTCATCATTCATCCAAATGATCTTGCTGCTGTTCTGCTTTGACTAGAAAAGCTTAAACAGCAATCCTGGAATAAGAAATAAGGAAGCTTTAGTTTTTAAGTATTTGAGCAGATACTCTTCTCTTTCCACTCCATTTTGCATCCCCTAAAGAAGTTTTTTAGCAAAGTAAATGGGGTTTGCAACTGCTGCAGATCAGGGTGAAGAGCAGCATGCCTTCCATGGTATATCCTTATATGTCAGTGCAGTACATTTTGTGTAGGAAAATTATTTAAAGCCTTTGCATTTGACTCCAACCTGCAACTTTTAAGTTTGCATTTTCTAGGATGTGTCTTTCATTGAAATGTTACACTGAAATACTTTGAACACACTTTGCAAGTACTCCCGAGTTTGTGCTGCCTCCAAAGATGCTTTTATGATGCAGTTCTCCCGTCTCTGGTGCAGTGAATGCTGGCAGAGAGGTGTCACAGCTGAAAGCTGGGAGACTGAGCTCAGGGAATTACAGTGCCTAGGTGTGGCAGAATGAATTGCTTCCCACTGACAACAGCAGCGTTCCTGACTGGGCAGCAAGCACTCGGAGTGGAAGAGCCCAGAATTTATTTGCCTGCATCCACCCAGAGTGACAAGACGCAAGTGTACATCATATAGGGCATTTATCATAGGAGGCGATGCCAGTTGCTTGGGACAAGTGAAAGGAGCAGATGAAAGCTGGGTGCTTTTACTGCTTTAAGGTTGAGAGCTGGCTGCGGGACTTACAGGCTCATCAGAGCAGCCCTACTGCAGTGTACTTAAGAATCAGGCCAGCCTCTTGTGTTTTAAAGTGGTACTGTCTCTTGCTCAGTTTCTCACTGATCCCAGAGTCCCTATAATGTCAGGACGTTGTAAATTATCAGTTATCCCATGGTGGCTCTTGGCAAACAGCTTCAGCAAATTTCCCCAAAAACACAGGTGACAAAAGTTTGTTGGTTGGTTGAGGTTTTCTTCACTCTCTCGCAGGAAATTCTCAGATTCATCCTTTTGATTTGCCATGGCAGCTGCAAGTACTACTTCCCCAAACGTCAGCTGTGCAAAAAATGTCTTCATTGTTCTGTTTCCTCGCAAGCACATCCTTAATTCTCACCTCTCCCTGGAGAGCAAGGCTGTCCCAGCACTGCAGCCCGGGGATGTGTCACCGCAGCGTGGTGTCCTGAGGCTTCCACAGCACTGCCTCAGGAATTGCAAGGGACTGCTCCTCTTGGCACAGGTTTGGAGTGAGAGAGCTCATGGGAGTGGAATGCCAAGCGCTGTGGGGTGGTTGGCACAGGACCCCCAAAACACAGCCTTCTGTACCACACCCACAGGAATAAGTACAGGTTATGGCAGCAGGGCTTAATGCAAGCTCAAAGGTGACGTGTGGAATCCCTCCCAACACTCATGGCATTTTTGTTTCCATGAGGAAAACAGATAGCAAAGGATAGACAGAGGCTGTCCTTCCCTTGTGTCTGTGCTCAGCAGCTGCTACAATGGGTGTTGAATTCTACATGCTGTCTCAAGACAACTAATTTGTTTAAGAATGACTGTGATTGTTTCAAAATCATCCTATTTTCAAGCTCATTTCTCCTCCCTTCCTGCTCAAACCGTGTCTTCATATCTGTCTTATTAGTCAGAACTTTTACTCACAGACCCTGCGAATAGGTGCAGGTAAAGAAATAAACAAAGAAGATATTTCAGGTTATCCAGGATGTTTTCTGTGCTTTGGGAAAATAAACTTCATTGTCATCACTTATGTCCTCAAAAGTACTCACAACAAAAGGGTTTCTAAGAGACAGAAAAATTTCAAAAATGATTGGAAGAGAGCCATCTTCAGTCATCAGACTATCACAATCAGCAAATAAACCACATCCTCGGAAGCTGCGAACACCCGAAACTGGTGTTTTGTTTCTGTTATCGTAGCAACGGCAAGTCTGAACAGCAGGATGTGTGCTCACAGTGCACGCTCGTTATTTCTCATGGTGACTGTAACACACTGCTCCCTACCAGTAACCTCTCACCTCGGCAAAACCTGATTGCTCTGATAAAAAAAAGGCAAGTAGTAAAAAAAAAAAAACAAAAAAAAAAAGGTATATGTATGTACAGATAATGCACCTCACGGACCAGCTTAATTATTATTTGTTATCGTCATTTCAGTGTTTCCATAGCATTTAAAAATAGAAATGAGAACAAGTCTCTCTCTCTCTCTCCCTCTCATGTCCCTTCCCAGCCCATAGGTTAAATAGCTTGAGTCATCTATAGGGTGTGTGCATGGCCAGGGGAGCGGTGCCTTTGTACCAAAAGAAATTGCTGAGGACGAGAAGATGGAAAAACTGAGCAGGCAGCTGCCTGTGATAAGTCAGAGTTGAACTTTGCAGCTCACATTCCACGTGGGTACAACACATACCAGCCCTGCATGCAACAGCAGGAACT